AGCTTCACACAGAAGGTTGTAATCCCTTCTCGTGGCATCAGGTTGACGCTCGATGAAGGTGAACACCTCTCTGTCCGAAGTGAGCCTTATCAGACTGATTTTATCTTCAATCGTAGCATTAGGATAACCACTCAGTCTGAAATCTAGGTCATTGAGATACGCCTTCGTACCAGTAGAACCCATAGGCCCAGGAATAAAGCGTTGAACATATTTTGAGATTTTTTGCAAATCCGAAATTGGGAGCAAAGGCTGTATTATCGGTATCGTAGGAACCAAAATGTCACGTGGAGGTGTGTCGCTAGACACATGTGGAGGTGACGGAATGGGATTAAGAGCAGGAGGTGCACTAAAATCCTTCTGAGGTGATGGTGGGTGACCTGGACTCTGACCTCGTTCGTCTTTGAGTTCCAGACAAGCTCGCCCCACGTCAGAAATCTCATTAGTTGCTATGGCTAGTTTCTCCTCACAGGCTTTTAAGCGTTCCTGTGATGTTTGACATTCACTTTGTAAACACACGCCTTGTTGTACTAACGCCTCCTTTTCCAATCTGCATTCGGTCAGAGCTTTTGATGTGAGCTACAACTGTCGTTGCAGCGTATCGTTGTCTGAACACAGTGCTTCGTACTTAACCTCTCTTTCCCTTATCTTCTCCTCATATGAGTGAGCTTGTAATGACAGACAGAGAAATGTTTTGGCGAAGTGGGGGGACGCAGGCGCCATTAGCTTCTTATTTCTGTCTGAGAGGTTTAAAAACATGACAGTTCGTTCTAATAACTTCTTTCTGACTTTTGACCGACATCACTACTTCTCATTTCAGACAGAAGATCAAAATGCATAATTACTCTGTAACAGACATTAACTTGATTTCTACTTTGAATGAGGATTAAAAAATCATTAATACTGTTTCACATTTGATTTAAAATGAGTAGTTTACTTCAACATTTAAAATGGTTTGAACTAAGCACACTTTTGGATTATCAAGACATTGTAAAAATAGTAATGAAAAAGAGAGTGTTCTTTCAATTGATTAGTGCAGGATACAATTAGAAAGTCTCTGGATGAGCTTAATTTGTATTTCTGGATTCAAATCAATGAAATAACAGTTTCTGTCCCATGAAGGTCTTCAGGGTCAGGTTTTGACCGGAGGCTTAGTTCACTACAATACCAGCAACCAGCTCTTTTCTTGTCCTACTCAGCTCCTCTGAGTTTCCAGACCTGAAGGCAGTGTTCCTGGCTTCCAGCAGGGTACGCACCTCTGCATTCAGCCAAGGTTTTCTGTTTGGGTAGCTTTTAACATTTCTGATAGTGGAGACTGTGTCAGCACATGTACTAATGTAACCCAGAACTGAGGATGTGTATTGGTCAAGATCAAGCGAACCTCCATTTTCAGCAGCTTCTCTGAAAACCTGGCAGTCTGTTCAGTCAAAACAATCTCTCAGTATGGGGCCACTGTCCTGGATCCAGCATTTAACCTTCTTTTGTACCGGTCTGGAGCGTCTCAGCGGGGGCATGTAAGCAGGAGCCAGGAAGATTGAGATGTGGTCTGACAGTCCTAGGTGGGGGCGGGGTTCGGCTTTGTATGCATCTTTTACGTTCGTGTAAACACGGTCCAGCGTGTGGTCTCCACGTGTCGGAATTGTCACATGTTGATTAAAGCTTGGGAGACATTCCTTTAGATTCACGTGGTTAAAGTCTCCGGCTACCACGTAAAGAGCCTTGGGGTGTTTGTTCTGCAGCGAGCTGATGATATCATGAAGCTCCTGTAGTGATTCATTAGCATTAGCGTCCGGAGGAATGTAAACGACAGAGATGAAAGTCACCGTGAACTCTCGGGGTAGATAATGTGGCCGACATTTCACAGTTATTTGCTCCAAAGCCTTCGAGCATGAGCTATTTACAACAGTACAGTTCGTGGACCAACTTTTACTCACGTAAATGCACACTCCGCCTCCCCGTGATTTCCCCGTTAGCTCGCTGCAGCGGTCCGCTCGAAAAAAAGTCTGTCATCCAGCTGGAAGACTGTGTCCGGCGTTTCGCTTGTAATCCACGTTTCTGTGAGGCAAAGCACCGCACACTTCTTCATCTCTTCTGAGTCGCCCGCTCTCAGACGAAGTAAATCCATCTTGTTGTCCAACGAGCGGACTTTTGACAGAAAGAGAGACGGCATGGGGAGTTTACCGGCTTTAGCGTTAGCTCGTAGCCTCACCATAACCCCCGCCCGGCATCCTCTCCTCTTAAGCCGGGAGCAGCGCTTCCTCTTCTGCCTGCTGGAACACCTCTGCTGCAGCTTCCAGGTAGATGACTTTAAGATCTGCATTCTGCCGAGCGTAGTTTTGAGTTTGTTGCTGATTTCTGCTATATTTCGAGGCAAATCCGCTCCTATTCTCATCAGTTCAGTTCGGCTATAGTTCACACGCATAAATCGCGCGGAGTCAGGCACAGAGTCAATATCAAAACTTCTAAAAACTGGGATGGTACTGGGAGCCTGTGAAGCTGCAACTGCTCTGAGCGCGGCCACCTTGGCATCATCTTAAAGCGGTCGCTGATGGGTTATCCCGTTATGCGAAGCTTTGCATAACGGGATAACCCATCAGTGACTGCCTTAAAGGGCTACGCTTATACTCATAGAATCTGGGGTTACAGTACGTAACCAACGTTTGTTAATCTCCAGGACATGAACTGCTTCAAGAGAATAGGAACTAATAGTTCCTATGCTATTATATTATCCTAGAATATATCCAATATTATTAATTATTCAGAAAGAAACAAGCCATAACCAAACAGAACAGAGCTCAGTAAACAAGCCAACTACTCAACAATGTGAGCTTTCTAACAGCTTTGTTAATAAAGGTTGAATGAATATACTTCATTAGAATCAGACTTTTTAAAGATCAATCTTTCATTGTTCAATTCAAACTATTCAAGTTTTTGTCACTGGATATGGCACCCAATATCAATCAACCTTTATTTAGACAGGTAAATCCCATTGAGCCTCAAGGACTCATTTACAAGAGAGACCTGATTTCAACAAAGAAATATGACAACAATGGACAACAGCAACAACAATAAACAGTTATAAAAAGTCATACTGCATGGTTTTTTTTGTTTTGTTTTTAACAAATAGGATGGCTAAAAGGAAAAGGTAACAAAAAAAACCCAGCTAGATTCCAAGACAAATGTAGAAAACTAAAAACAGGAACATGTCTGCATTGGACCCTGCCAGGAGTCCAACAGATTCTTAAAGCCACTTAGAGAGGTCAAGGTCGAGAGCTTCAAATATTTTTGTAAGATATTCCAGGAAACAGGAGCGGAATAGGAGAAGGCCCTTTTGCCTAGTTCAGTCCTCATTGAGGGAACACTGCAGGTAATAATGTCCTGAGAGCGCACGCTG